ATCTCATGCACACATTACAACTCTTTTATCTAAATTAGACATCACTTCACATACACCCTTTCACTTTCAAATGAAACATTACTTCACACACCCTTTCACTTACAATTAACTACATTTAATTAAGAAAATAAACCACATTCACACAAATGAAAAGACACATCCATTCAAATAATACGATTAAATATTTTGAATTTATTAACAGCGATTACATCTGGTTTTATGATCCCGCCATTGGTCAAGCTTGGGCCTCGAGACGAGAAGACTGCGACCGCCGGGGCTGAGTTCATTCCAAATTGAGTCCCGTGGAACTTTAACGCTGCTGTAGGATTTTTCGTTTTGGTGTAGTACTCATCGATGAGATTTGAGCTAGTGAAGTTGAGTTGTGAGGCAGGGAGGACATGAGCAAAGGCGCTGGTTGTCTCCCCTGACCTCCATCCATTTACCAAAATCATGGCCGTGCCGCCTGACTTCTTCACATTGTCGCCTCGCTCATCATCTTCGATGTCCATTTGGAAGCACAAGACAATTTTTCCCTGAAGATTTAATTTTTTTATCTCGCTCAAATGGCAGCCCAAGGAACCAACCGTTCCAAGGTCATGGAATGGGAAGGAGAGAGGCTCTGAGTCGATGGAAAGTTGCCTGGTTGGTTAGCCGACTTACCGGCTAGCTCTGAATCATTGCCGAGCAACACCGATGCCGTTATTCTTCTATCAATAGTGCTTGCCGCAACCGTTAGTATCCACGGCGCATCATTAGATAATTTGCTAGCCGAAGCCCCCTCATTGGCGATCGCGGCACAGGGAGAGATACCTTTTTTTATAGACGCGAATGAACTGATGGCGATAGGGTTCTCGAAAAGCTCAACATTGGATAGCCCAAGCGACGACATCTGAAGAATATCAACGTTGTCGCGAATGGCTTATTCTATAGCGACTAAAATATCCGCATCGGTGCCAGTCGAATGACCGTTGGGATCGACAAATAAGGCTTTGTAAATTGCAAGATGAGCACGCGGGGCCATGCCGGAGACCGTCCCCTGTGCCTGCCCAATTACATTAGCTTTGTCAACAAAATTTCCAGCCGCGGTGCTAACGACGTGGGTGCCGTGGCCGTCGTTGTCATACGGATTGGGTTTTACGACACTGTGGCGGAACGCAGCGGCACCGATGAGCATGTTGTTGCAGGTACGTTTATTTCCCCAATAGCATTTGCCATTCCATTTCGAGGGAGGAGGGGGCATTCCCTTATCATTGAAAGAAGGGTGGTTATTATCGATTCCGGTATCGATTATGCCAATGATTTGGCCGGCGCCCATTGAAGAGTCTTGCCAGAGTGCGTTTGATGGGTTTCCTTTGAGGGAGAGGAAGGTGGGGGTGTAGGTAGTGGAAGCATAGTATTCTTTTTCTGGGTAGGCATCAATGAAACAATCGAGGGATTCCATGGCTTCGGCTTCATCAGAGTTGAGACGAGCGGCGAAGCCGGTGATTACTTCGCGATAGGTGTAAACCATGCGAGATTCTCCAGAGGCGAGACTAGCATTGGGGAGAAAGGACATGTACCAATTTTTGAGATTTTGGAAGCTGAGTGAGCGGCTGCAGGGCTTCTCCACGTGGACTATGTAGACGGGAGTTTTGCTGGCGTCGATGCCGCTACCTTCATTGATTATGGAGAGGAGTTGGGCACGGGCTAAAGGAGCTGGATGAGATGAGAATGCGAGGATCTGGAAGAGGAAGATGAAGAGGTTGAGGATGGCGGCAGCCATAGATAGATAAATTATGATAGGCATTTGAAAGAAGAAATGCAAATATGCTGAGGAATGATGATTGACGAGTCACACAATAATATATATAGCTAGCTACAGTAAGGATCAATTGAACTATTAGAGAAAAATAGTTGAAGTACTTCATCACAAGGCCATATGATATATATCATAATTAATTAGTGCTACATAATTACTTGATTAAAGAGCACCTTTTTTTTTTCATTGCATGGAATACAATGCTTTCTGTAGCATGGGGAATATATGATACGAAATATTGCATTCTAACCTTGAAAATAAGGCTTTGTTTGGGACATATTATTACTATTTCTTAAAGCACATTTTAAATATAAAAATTCTATTTGTTGTATAAAAAAATTCTTTAAGTAATAAAAAAATCGTCACAAATAAAGCCTGAATTAGAATGAGATAATTATTTTATTTAAGGAGGGATGAATATAAATAGCCACGGGGCTAATTTGAAGGGCTTAGATTAATTACAATTTTTATTAAATTTTATGTAGGGAGTTCATGTATGTTATAACCAATATTTATTTTATGTAGAGAGAATCATTTTCTGTGCTTATTTCGAGGTAATTCATCGAACCTGTTTTTGCCAGAGAAAAACTTTAAAAATGTTTTCATAAATTTTTTTTTTTCCTTCAGAAATTCACATTTGTGTTAAAGCTTGTATTCTAAATCGGGTCGCTGACAACCTTAGCAAACGATCTGCTCTACTAACGCAGCTGCAAACCAGATAAAAAATAGGAATTTCGTTAAGATTTCAAAACTGTGTTCCAAGCGCCAGCCAATAAATGAATTCTCTATTAGACATGGGTAATTAATCAAATGGAATTTATTATGCATATTGCATACAAGATTTCTAATGGAGATAGCAGATCATTAAGGATTCTTACTGTGGCGAACTAGCAGCTCATTTGGGCCGTGAAAAGACCTTTCTTCAATCACAAGCATGTTTCTTTTGGCCTCGTCTACACAGAGATGTTCATAGATTCATTGAACACTGTGGGGTTTGCCAAGAATTTAAATGGTCCACTCAAAATACCGGTTTATATACTTCATTACCTGCTCCTTATTCTATCTAGGAGGGCATTAGTCTAGATTTTATGTTGGGTTTTCCGATAACAAAGCGGGGAGCTATTCCATTATGGTAATGATGAATCATTTTTCTAAGATGGCTCACTTCATAGCTGGTAAGAAGACTTTTGATGCAGAAAATATGGCCCAATTATTCTTTTAGGAAATTGTTTGATTACATGGATTACCGTGGAGCTTAATGTTAGATAGAGATGTGATGTTTATTAGTCACTTATGTGGAAAAGAATGATGACATAAATCAACTTAAGCTCAACTTATTATTGGCAATCCGACGTCCAAATTGAGGTTGTGAACCAAACTTTAGGCAATATGTTGAGATGTCTAGTTCAAAACTGACCATGGCAATGGGAAGATGTCCTTGACCAAGCTGAATTTGCATATAATTCTATGACTAATCGCTCGACGGAATGCTGCCCCTTTAGCATGATTAACAAAAAAAAGCCCATTCACATTGCTATCCTACCGAAGTGCCAGAATGTTATTGCTAATCAGTTTATTGAACTATATAAAGGAATGCTGGGAGAAGTAAAAAATAAACTCATTTCATCTAATGATCAGTGCAAACATACATCGAATATGCGCAGGAAAAGGAAAAATTTCTAGCCAGGTGACCTCGTCATGGTCGGTCTTCCAAAAGAACCCTTGCATGTAGGAACACACTTCAAATTGTTCCCACGTAAGGTGGGTTTGGTACCAGTCATCCGGCGTATCAATGACAATGCCTGCACAATTGAACATCCATACCATATTCACACTCCCAACACATTTAATGTGTCTTATATCTCCGCCTATTACCCACCATATGGGCTCTTGGACAGAAATGCAATCACCGATACAAAATCATTTGAAGAAGGGTAGAAGTGATGCTGTGCATTAGTTAGTATAATAATAGACTTAAGTATGTTATATTATCTCCACTACTATTAGTTAGAAAAGCTTATATTCCCTGGCATTTAGTTGAACTCTCCACATGGGTCAAGAAAATACATAAACCTAAACTAAGGAAGAATAGAGAGATATACCGACATTTACAACAATTTTTGTTTCTCTATTTTTCTCTCTTTGCCTATATAGGTTCCAGCGGAACCTGTCAATGAGAAATCACATCACTCGATAAATGACTTTTGAGCTGAGTTTGATGAGCTAACGAGCTATGTTTGAACCATCTCTAACTCGACTTGTTAGCTCATGAACCGGCTCAATTATTTGAATCATAATCATTCTCTTTTAATGACAAACGTGCTAGTTCATCAATCATCTCGAGGTTAACCTCAAACTTGTTTAATTAATCAAGTTCAAACTCAAATCAAGAGTGATTGGAGCCAACTTGACTCATTTATATCCCTAGCCAACACCACTCCTAGCTGGCCATTTTAAAAAAGTTATTGTCTCGGACAATGCCACAGTGCTGTTTGATGACATTCTTTTTTTGATGCTTAGAAGAAGTTTTTTAAAATAAATTTGACAGACAGCCGTCGGTAGCACTAAATTATAGGCCAACTTATTTTTTGAAAGTGAAAATTTTAGAATGTTTAGAACAACATTCGAAGACTATTTTTACCCACAATAATTTCAGTATTATGTTTATATATAATTATAGATGTCCCTTTCATACCCTAAGTGCTCGTTGTGGCTGTTTGACAAGAAGTAAAATAGGTGTGAAATACTCTAAATACATGAGTTTTATAAATACTAATGCAAGGTTTGGAGTAAAGGAAATGTGAGTAAAATTTTGAAGTATTTGGAATTCACATCTTGATAATTTTTGATGCATTAAAACAAAAAGTTAGATTTGATTAGTTTTCAAATAAACTGAAAATTCTCCGTCATTACGGCCGCTCCCGCATCCCATCACTGCATCCCACCATAGCGCTGTCATCTTTCATCACCACCACAATCAACGACCATTTACTTTACTTCAAGCCAAAAAAAAAAAAACTCTTGAATTTATTTTACACATCTAAACAATTCAAAATATTTAAAATAAAGTATAATCTTTTTATATTATAATTTTTTACTCTATATTTGTTTTAAATAAATTAAATGACCCCTTAGTTTAAATTTAACTGCCTAATTAAGGTTTCATTTAGGATAGCTTTCTTGAATTGATTGTTTCAATAAAAAAAAATAAACTAATTAAGGGGATCATCTCCAATTATCTGATAGTGTCTTGGCTTTTGATAAATATGATCAGAATATATCCCCCTCTAAAAAAAAATTATAAGTAAAACTTGTTTCTACAAATTCAGAGAGAATTTGAAAAAAGAGAATTCTGAGACTTAGAGGATTCCAAATCTGTTTCAACCAGCACTTGATGTGGTTTGTTGAGTTGACCATCATCGATGCCCATTGTTGATCATCATCAGTGTCTGTCATCAATCATTGCCGATGCCATCCATCAATCACCACTAATTCCAACCGATGTTCATCGTCAACTACAGTCATCAATCTTAATAGATGTTTGCCATTAACTACTACCGTTGTTGTCTATAATAGATCAATGCCTATGTATACCATCCATCATTGCCCACCAATGAATAGAGGTGACATTCCTTGTCATGTAATCATGCCATCTCTAGTGACAGGAAATGGTGGGCTATTGTAATTTTAACCTATATAATCTATTAATTATTCATGCCATCCCAAACGAAGTCTTAGCTTGACAGAATAAAAATAGAAAAATTTTAAAAATGATTTTTGATTGTGCATTTGTCTTCCTCAAAGCATTACTAGTTCCGGAATCTCAAAAAATTTGTTTCTGCAGCCACTGCAAGATCAAATGTACAACACTATAAACTTCCTAGGAAGAAGGATTAAGAGATCTAACTCAGTTCGATTGTCTAAAGGTCTCTTTTAGGATTTTGCCTATTTATCATTGAATAATTTTTTCGGGAAACCATGGATGAGGCTATGGATCAAAATAATAAATATAAGTTAACTTTAAGGAAACATTTATTAAATTCTGATGTCCTTTTTTTTTCCGTTGCATTTTATCTTTTTTAGTTGTGTTTGTTGCGTGTTTTACTTCTCCCAACATGGAGTAGAGCTTGCTAAGGAATTCATGATTAGTGGATTGGGTCCAACTTTATGAGAGGTGAATTTTGGTGGAGTTGATCTCCTTTTGAGTTCTAAAATTATTATGGGGGCTGAAGGGGAAAATCAAGATTATGTTGGGTCAGCCAAAGAGCTCGAAGCACCATTCTAGTGTCTATTATTAAAATAATATGCAACTTTTATTTAAACTACCATTGAAAAGAGTGATATTTAAACAATTATAAATAAGAATCACATCCTTTTATTTAGATTTATATATATATTACGATAAGTTAAGTAACCTATCACTGAATAACCACTATAAACTATAAATATTTGTTGTGTCCTGGAGTATTCGCAGGCGGTAGAGAAATATAATAGTTTTAACGTCTTGCTTGTACGAAGATCCAGCACACAACACAGATGAAAAGAGAGGGTGTAGCGTTCAATAAGGAGACATCAGCAGTATTTTTAGTGGAAAACCCTTAAAACGCGCAGGAAAAATTCAGTGCGGGCCTAGCCCAGTTTTGAATGAAATCCCACTTAGTACTTCTAGC